CTGCTGAGCTCCAGTGGGGCTGCCAGCTGGGAGCTGCAGGGTGACATGGCTGTTGGCAGTCTTGGGGCACAGAGTTGGGGGTCGTCCTGTCGGTCTGCCGGATCCCCAATCTTCCCATTTGGAATTGCTCAGAAACAGCTGGCCGGTTTCACGCTCAGCCTGTGACAGTAAAGCAGCAGCCCGGACTCTCTCCCTCTAGAAGCAACAGAGGTACATTTGCACCCCGGATTTCTAGTGGAATGACCAAGCTCCTCTGTAACGACTGCAAGAAGTGACAGGAACGGGACCAGAAACTCTCCCCGGGCCCCTAGCGCCCTCACGTTTAAGAACAGATCTTTCCCCAAGAACGAGAACACATCTTCCCAAAAACCCCAGAGGCACACACCTCGCCTGCTTAACAGTGGCAGCTGACTCACACTCAAAGCAGCAGGCAGGCCTGTGTTGAAATGCCTGCTGTTGGCATCCCTACAAGAGCTCCTGCAGCTGGTAAAACCTGGAGCGGAGCAGACCGCTGCGCAGCGGGAGGCTGATATGTGACCCTGATTAAGCCAAGGGACACTGTGGATCTACTGAAAGACATATGTACTGTGTGTGTTACTACACAAAAAGTTGAGAGACCCCATATGGACCCATGGGCAGATGTCCTATGCACAGCTACCCTGTAGAGATGAAGTCATCTAGAAAGAGACACCATCACACACCCGCATTAGATCCCGGTCAATTATTAAGCAAAAATCGACCCGAGAACGTTATAGCACGGCCACGATAGTACAACAACTATGTCGCTAGAGCCGTAAGGCGCCCCTAGAGGAGAATTAAACAGTAACAATAAAACAATAACAATAATAATAACAACAATAAAATAATAATAATAACAACCTTCGCTTGTACTCGTCCCTCTCTCGCTTCACTTTAGCCAGCACGTTGTACAGGGCACGGATCTCGGGTGTTATAGTATCGATTTGAACCCCGACTCCGTCCGGGTGGACCCAGGACACGCCTGGGCCGGTGACCCGGGTTTCCAGACCCGGGCCAACTTTGCGAGTGTGGTTGTAGGACCAGATTGTCCCGGGCAAGAACCGGGGCGGCGGGTTGGTGGTGGAGTTGACGCCGCAGCTAGTCCCTGTACTGGTGCCGGTGCTGCTGCTGCTGCTGCTGGTGGTGCTGGTGGTAGTGGTGTTGGCGTTGGCCCCGTCGGCCGCAGAGGTCGACCTGGAGTTCGGATCGGGGTTCGAGTTCGAGTCCGGGTTCAGGTTCGTGGGCTCCAGGGTCAGCACCGTGGTCAGACTTGGGGTAAAGACGCTCGGGCCCCGGTAGACCGAGCTGTTGGAGTTGGGGAAGTTGAGCAAGCCGGGTCGGAACGAGATGGGCCCGACAAAGCCGGTCTGGACGCCTTGCTCCCTGGTCTCCGGTCTTCTCCCGTCTCCGTTGCCCAGGCCCCCTCCCCCGCCGCCGGCTTCCAGCGCCTGCTGCAGCTGCTTCTCCAAAATCTTATTCCGCCGCTCCAGTTCGTGCACTTTAGCCAGAAAGCAGCGGAAACGCAGGTTGAGCGTTTTCAGGACGCTGATGTTGGAGCCCAGGTCGTTCCGCAGGGCCATGGCCGGGGGAGGAGGCGGGGGCCGGTAGAGGGGGTTGTTGAGGTGGAAGTAAGCGAGCCCGGGCGGCAGGGAGCTCAAATCGAGCCCCGGGAGGGAGTCGGCCGCAAAGCCCTGGTGCTCGCTTAAGAGAAAGCCCGGCTCGCCTGCGCCATGAGCCGGGTCCGGCAGCAGACCCGAGGAGTCCTGCTGGGCCGCCTGCTGCTGTTGCTGAAGCTGTTGTTGCTGTTGCTGGAGCAGAAAGACGTTGGCACTTAATAAAGGATTCATTGTATGGGTCAGCTTGAAGCGCTCCAAATCGGGCATGAAAATTATAATTATTTTTAGTATGTATGCTTTTAAATCCGAATATTCAGAAGAGCAGGCAGACGCCGAGATGAAATCAGACACAATAAACTGCAAGCAAAGTCCGCTAACAGCTGGAATAAAAGCGTATTTTGTAACCAAGCCACACGACTAGTGCGCTAAAGCTGGCTGCTAACTATGCGAAGCCCAGCTAAACGTTATTCGCTAGACTGCTGTCTGTTTTGAAAAAAATGGCTGAATGCGGCTTTTTCACCATCGTATGTCTGCGAGTATAAGCAACCTCTTTCAAGCATCTCCCCCCCC